GTCTGTTAGTTGTACTTCCTTCAACACTGAAAAAACAGAAGACTGTGCATTTGATATGGCACTCTGTGAGACTCTGTGGCAGCTTTGGGCAGCTTGTGATACTCTGTGGCAGCTAATTGCACTCTGTGGCAACTAATGGCAGCCTGTGGTGCTTTGTGCAGTAGCTAGTGGCAGCCTGTGGTGCTCTGCACCCTGTGGTGCATGAACGGAAATACACACTCATTTGAGAGCAATATGGGGTTCTTGCTCAAGGACACTTCGACATGCAGTGAGAGGAGCCGGGGATCAAACCGCCAACCTTCCGATTAGTGGACGACCCACTCAACCTCTAAGCCACAGCCAGCTTATGGCACCCTGTTGCCTACTGACACTTTAGACAGCTAGTGGCAACCTGTAACACCTGTGGCTGCTAGAATCACCCTTTGTCAGCTTGTGACACCCTATGGAAGCTGTTGGCTGTCTGCGCCAGCTTGGAGCACTCTGTAGTGTCTTGTTGAACTCTGTGGCAGTTAGTTTTGTATCAGACTTTGTCATGGTTATTGCCAGCTTCTGGCACTCTCTGACAGTGTTTGGCAACCTGTAGCTTGCAGTAGCTGCTAATAATACCCATTGGTAAGCTTGTTGGGTTTTTTTTTACATGACACTCAGCTGTTGCAGCTTGTGGCCCTCTTTGGCAACATGTAGCACCCTACGGCAGCTAGCAGCATTTGGTGGGAGCCTATGCCAGCCTGTGACACAGCAGCTAGTGGCACTGTGTGGCAGCTTGTGGCAACCTGTGGCAGCTTGTGGCAACCTGTGGCAACTAATGGCACCCTATGACTCTGTGGTGAGCTTGTGGCAACCTGTGTCAATTAGTTTCACTTGGTGGTAGCTTGCGGCACCCTGTTGCATCTACTGGCACTCTAGGGACTCTAGTGGCAGTTAGGGTTAGGCACTCTATAACAGCTTGTGACAGTCTGTGGCAGGTGTTGGCAATCTGTAGCTTCCGGCTAGCGGCATTGTGTGGCAGCTCATGGCAACCAGTGACACTCTGTGGTGGTCTGGTGTCAACTACATTTCACTCAGTGGTAGCTTGTGGCAGTTAGTGGCACTTTGTGGTAGCTTGTGGCACCCTGTGATACTATGTGGTAGCTAGTGGCATTGGCAGTTTGTGGCACCCTGCTGCAATCAAAAGCACACAGTGGTAGCTTGTGGCACCCTGTGGCAGAAAGTGGCTCTGTGGCAAGTAATGGAGCCCTGTGACACTCTGTGGCAGCTTGTAGCAACCTGTGTCACTGCCACTGAGTCCTACTAGTTTCCACAGTGTGCCACTAGCTGCCGCAGAATGCCACTAGCTGCCAAAAGCTACCACGAGAGCTACTAATCACCACAGAGTGACTGTAGCTTAGTTGTTCCATAGCGTAGCACAAGCTACATTAATGATGACAGTAACCTGAAATATTTTTGCTGCTGAAATTGATCACCACAGAGTGCCAGTGGCCACAAGGGGCCACAAGCTACCACTGAGTGAAACTGGTTGCCACAGTTTGCCACAAGCTTCCAAAGAGTACCTTCTAGCGGCCACAGTGACACAGTGCTACTAGCTGCCACAGATTATTTCTGCTGCTGAAATTACATATCACCACAGAGTGCTACTAGCTCCCATAAACACAGAGTGCTACTTGCTGTGCTACTTGATTGACACATGTGACAGCTAATGGCACCCTGTGGCTGCTAATGGCACTCCAGTAGCTTGTTGCAACCAAGTAACACTCTCTCTCTCTGCCAGCTGTGGCAATGTTTCACTTTGTGTCAGCTGTTTTGCACTTGCAGGTTGTTGAACTAGTGGCAAGCTATGGTGATCAATTTGAGCAGAAAAATAATCCAAGTTGCTGTCATATTTAGTGGCACTTTATGGCACCTTGTGAAACTGTGTTGCAGCTAATAGAACTCAGTGGCAGGGTTTAGCACTCTGTGGCTGCTGCTGTCAGTCTGTGGTAGCTATTGGCACTCTGTGCCAGCATATTGTACTCTGTGACAGCTAAAAGCACTGTGTGGCTTCTTGTTGTAAACCTCTGGCAGTTAGTTTAACTGCATGGTCATTTGTGGCATTGTGTGGCAGGTTTTAGCACTCTGTGATAGCTAGTACCATTTTGTACCCGCTTGCTGCACTCTTTAGCAGGTTGTCGAATTCTGTGGCGGCTAGTGCCACTCTGTGATGATCATTTTGATCAGCAAAAGTACCATGGTTAATGTCCTCTCTCCTGCTATCCATCAACTAATCTGCACAGGAGTACTTAAACCCCAGTCCTCCATCTACTCTTTGCCAGACCATTACTTCAGCCACTAGGCCTACTAAGCGCTCTCAGCTGCTGTAAGTATTGTACATAGTAAATTTACCTGTTTGTTTTTAATGCTTGAAACTAAAATTTGTTTTTCCTGTACCATCATCCTCTACTTATTAGTAATTATATAATTACACATGCACAAAATATATGTACCCTATATTGCTACTACATTTTATAAATGTGTGTGTTATAAATGTATCCATTATTGTATGTCATATTCAGTTACTTGACTTGTTAATTGTATTGATAGAATTGTAAAGTTGTTTCAACAATTGTATGTATTGTTACTTTATATTCTGGTTAATATAAAATGTCTGTTAGAAAATATTTGTATGTCAGTAAGATAAGATATATGGAAATGTAGTGCACACAGTAAAGAAAATATAATAAAATCCAACAAAAAACAATAAAATATACTAAAATATAATCATAAAATATATACACTATAAACAATAAAATTGATTATCATTAGGCTGCTTGCTTTTCATTTACTCTTACTACTTACAAACCAGGAGTGGACAATTTCCTTGTCCATGAAGTGCATTCATGCACCTTAACTTTGACACCAGAATCTTAACCACATATACGTAAACATGAAGTTGATTATCACTTGCATAACCAGTATGCATATGTATGTAAATGTTTTTTCATTTGGACTTAGTATTCAGACCTTAAGTGAAAGTACCAGTAGAACAATGTAAAAATGCTCTGTTGAGTGTAAGTCCTGCATCAAAAGTAAAAAAGGAAATCAAAAGGAAACAAGAAGATTTTTTTTGCGTATTACTGGATAATGTGAACAGTTATTGAAGTTATTAAAATGAAACCATGTGAGAGGTTTAGAGGGGAAATGTCCGTGCGGTCTACAACAGATCACACTGCTGCAGTTAAGTCCTCTTGTGCCATCTGGTGGTGAATTTGTCCAAATGTACGTGTGCAGCGCTGATGCTTACTGATGTGGAAAGTCCCTGTACGTCCTCCCCCCTGTTGATCTGATGGAGGAGGAGGCTGACTAACATGTTCCCCTGCTTTCAGCCCGTGTAGCGTGGTGCTCCTCTTCAGACCGCAGCCGCAGTAAAATATCACTTTGAAGTTCTGTAAATAAACAGTAACATGTTCCTCTGAGCTCCAAGCAACAAGGAAGTGACTATTCACGTTGCATTCAGTGTCTATAGGAAAAAGAGCCCGTCACTGCAGCTCTCAGCTGGTATTCACAAACAGAACAGTCGAGAATCAGTGCCCATATTCTTCGAGGTATATGGTATTGCTTTAGGGGCACATTTTTTGTTAATGTGCAAAGTTTGTAAAGTGAAATGTGTTTGTGGATATTGAGGATATTGAGTTCATGTTTTTTATCTGAAAATGGTATACAGGCCCACGCTGTGTCAGAGCTCGTTGGGGTAGTTACTCCAAAAATGTCATTTGTTACTCATCACTCATTGCTCTTTTCAAAGGTAATATTATAACTTTACTTATTACTCCCTGCACCAATTATCTCCATTGTCCCCAAAATTCATAGTGACGTCGATTCAAATCCTGTTTTTGTTTGTTAAACTCAAAGTAATGGAATATTTTATTATAATATGTATAAGTCCTGGACAGAGAGGAAAACTTACCTCAGCTCTACTTAGAAAATATGTCCACATTTGTTTAGCCTAGCTGGCATCATGTGCTGCACCTGTTCTCAGGGAATTCTCAGGAAATGAATTACTTCCTGTGGGCCAGAGCTGAGGAAGATGGTTTATTGGGGAAGTTCATTCCCACATTGTCAAATACCTGGGAATTAGACTCAGCAGTCAACTATCTCTTAGAGCCACCAACCTAAACTGTCTTTGTATCTTTCTTGGCTCCAATTGTTTTCATACCATAATACCATTATGAGCACTAAGAGGGGCCAGTGGAACAACCGAGCACAGATTAACTAAATGGTATCAGTGTAGCCCAAAGGAGCTACTATAATCCAGAGGACTATAATGAAAAAGAATGCTGTTGGTGGTTGTATTATCAGATTCTATCCAGTTGTTATTAGCATCAGAGGCAGACTCGGGCTGTTTGAGGGACAGGCACTTTACTGGAAAGGAACTATAGGGCACTTTATCATGTGAAAAACAACAACTTCTGTATATATTTCTTTATTCAGATATTCAGATATTTTTGTCATATTTGCTGGAACTTTCACGATATCCTGACAGTATAGTCATATATACCATTATGAGCACAAGGAGGCGCCAGTGGAACCTGATTTTTTCACAGATTATCTGTATACTACTGTCAGGATATAGTGAACGTTTCAGAAAATAAGATATTTTTTAAAAGTTACGTACTGCAGCTTTAATCGCACTAAAACATGAATGAGATCGGTCAGCAGTTCTGTCGCAAACATTTCTTTAACATTTTAACAAACAAACAAAACTAATAAAATCACCAACACTAAAACAAAAAAAATGTAAGAAAAAAACAAAAACTAAACTGAAACTAGTAAACCCACTTTGGAAAATGGGTTAAGAACACAAAACTATAATAACATTGATGTGTCTATGTTACGCATTAAAGATAATTAGCCTATCAGAAGCAATCAACAGAGTTGTGCTCTATATTCCCAGGCGACCTGAAGGCAGCATGAGGTAACTTACAGTAAACTGGTAACTTACTTTACATATTTAACAGGAAGAAGTTTTTCATTAATCACTCCCTGACGCAGCGTTTTCTCATTGTTTTAGGCCTAAGCAGTTTGAAATGTTTTCTAAAAGCAGAACAGTGTGACGGCAGCTACAGGCAACGTCTTTAAAAATGATTGTCTATCGACCATTGTTGGTGTTACTGTGCGTGTCGCTATCGTCAGCCGTGAGGATCTTGTCATTGCCTCTCAACTGCTCCCGACAGGTAAGCTAACGTTAGCAGTGGCGAACCAAAGGTAGAAAAACAAGTGTTTGATCTTTCAGCTGGCTGTGGGCTCAGAGGAAACTGTACGAGGCTTTGTCCAACAATAATAATAATTCTTGTTGTCTTTTTACCTACATATTATGTGATATAGTGAACATTTAATGTGTTTTTTGAATGTTAAGTGTATTTTTAACATTATACCAACCTATACAGTGGTGTTTCCTTAAGGGACCCCACTGAATAAACTGACGACCTCTGACTATATTCGACAATTCCTGTGAATACTGAACAGAGATTAGTTTTTCTGATATATTTAGGAACTTTTTACCAATTTGGTGTTTTATTCTTTGTGATACATTGTTCTAATACAGCTTGTGTTTAGGTCATCAAAGTTTAGATAATAAATAATACACTGTAATGCAATAAGTAACTTTAACTAATTTAAAAACACACATTAAGTTAGAAACTGAATTTTGCAACTAAAAAAACATAATTAAGTACTTTTTAGTAGTTTTTTTCACAATACAAATAAACATTTAAATATGAAGTGTCACTTAAAATTACTAAAGCTACTTGATCAAGAATGTTATAACTTACAAAATGGAGTTAGTTTTACTTAAAATAGTCTCAACTTTAAAAATAACAGTTTCATTTAGTTTGCTTCACAGAAATGAATGAAATGCTATGATATAGGCCTACTGTGTATATTTTTAAGGTTTTCTAGTACGCCTTAAAATTGAGAAGGCTTCGCGAGTCCTAATGGGGGTCCTGACCCGCAGACTAATCTTTTCACATAAATAGCCTAGTACATAGCAAATCCAATGCTGCGTTCACACAGATCCAGGTAGACAGCATACAGACAGCGCCTTCCTCACAGCACAGGAAATAAAAAAACATGAAATGGTAGGACGACAAAACGAAACACACATGACAATGTGTTGCTATTATTTTGTTTGATATAATACAAATATGTCATAAGATGAAAGTTCCATGTCTCAGCAACTTGGTAACACAGTGGTTCTGATTTGAGCAAAATAGGAGCGAGCCTCTTCAGAGCCCTGCCCTTGTTCATGTGGATGTTTGGTTTTGTTTAATGGTTATTGATATGTTCATGGTTTTTGCTGTTCTGTAAAGCACTTTCTGTAATTGGTGAAAAGTTGGCAAATCAGTACAGTTTGTAAGATTAATAAGACTATAGTCCTCCTTTCTAATCCTCTGTCTGTGTCTTTTTCCTGCTACAGGATCTGCAGTGTACAGCACAAACAAGTGAGTTAATGTTTCTCTTCCTGATTCCTGCTATTTTTTTGAGCACAAGATGAAGTTTAGTTTATAGTTGATTTATTCAATTATTTCTCAGTGACAGTGCACTAGGGTGGGGCCATATGTTAAATATTTCCAACCGGGCACTGTCGTAGTTCCAGCTGAGAGATGAGCGGCGTTTTACTACGTGCAACGAGCTATAATAGCTTAAATAAACAAAATAAACAAAAATAAACAAAAATATCAAAAAAGGAAAATAAAATATATAACAACACCTTCTAACGTCAAGGTTCTCTTTTTACCGAACTAAGACCAGCATAATTACCTTAACCCACCTTAAAACACATTTCATTCAAACTCAACAGAAACAAAATAAAAATAAAAATTCAGTCTTTCCACTGTTTGAACACACACCAACTGTGGTGTCTAACAGAGTTAGATGTTAGATGTTAGATATGAAGATATTCTGCCTCTGCTGTGTCCTGATTGGGGCCTCTGTGAATCACCTTGTAACTGTATCCCCTGTTGTCAAACTAACCGAACCCTTAATTCACTGCAGTTAGATAGGAAAATATTAACGCTCTACGCTTGTTTTCAGCTCAGTGTGTGTACTGCAGCACTGAGCAGCAGCTCTCATTCTTCAGCGGCAGACCATTAAATAAGCTAAATAAAATGGCAAAAACTGGCCAAAAAAGCAACCGCTGATGGAGCCAATCACTGATATATTGAAATAAAAAACATTGCTGTAAATAGGCCAGAATTAGCCAAAAGTTTGTTTTCATCCATAGTCACTGGCCAGGTGTAAACATGGTCAGCCAGGAATCAGTTTAAAATCATGAAACAAGTTTAAAACAATAATCATGATGTAAGGCATGTTACAGTGAAAGCAAACACTACACACATTTATGTCTTATAGAACAACTTCATAACAACAGATATAAGCAAATAAGAAAATGAAGAATGCTCACATTTCTCTAAAAATTTAATCACCAAAATGTGAACATTAAAAGATTACCACCCCAAACTAACTGCCTATGTTTGTGTGTGTGCAGGTAATTGTATGGACCCAGCATGGCGAAATGTAAATGAGTACACTCCGAACAGTCCAGAGGACCTGCAGGTGTCTGTGGACACCAGACAGGATGAGAAGGGACACCTGCAACCTGTGCTGCTCGCTAACTGGAAGATAAAGGATGATGGTGAGTCAGTCTGCTGTCTCAAGTCTTACAGAAGACACTGCATGATTTGTAGATTTCAGATTATGACTTTAGCGAAGCTGCACTTGATAACTTCCTCTTGTAGTGAAGACCTCTGCTGTGTTTCATCCTCAGGCAGTATTAGTTACCTGAAAGCCACTGAGCTTCATGTTCTGGTGACGACCACCAACCAGAACTTGTGTGTTCGATATTCTTTCAAAGATAAACTACCAATGAGAACTCTATCAAATGAGAAGGTAGGTGCCTCACAATGCTATCTGGATAGTGCACTTATAGTAACATTATCAAATGTCAAATGGCCGTCATAATGTTTTTCAGATCAGATTACTCACAACATACTTGTTTAATTGCTCAATGTGTTGTTTCTTTTCTCAGCAGCATGGACATTTCAAGTAATTTCCATATTAGAGAACTCACATTGAATTATTACTGAGTACCTGGAAAAAGAATCTAGTGTAAGAATTGGGTCCAAAAAACCCAAGGGAAAATGTGGAAGAAAAACCACATCCACAAACATTAAAATGTTACAATTTCAATGCATACACACATTATTGTTCTTAGCAGACTATTTGTAAATGGTGTAATACATATCTGGAGGAGATCTTTAAAGTCCAGGTGAAATGAAAAATGTCATTTTAACTTTAAAGATGCAGTAGATAACTTTTATAAAAGTATTTTTTGTTATATTTGCTAAAACTATATCCTGACAGTAGTAGTAGTACATGAGACAGATAATCTGTGAAAAAATCAGGTTCCTGTGGCTCCTCCTAATGCTAATGACATTTGCAAGAATCAATCAGGAATGACAAAAACAACCAATCAGAGCCAAGAAAGACAGTTGGTTCTTGAGTCTTAATCATGAAGCAGATACTGAATATTAAATTGAGTCTTTTTAATTTGAGTTCATCAAATATAGATGTTTAGGACCCAAACAGTCAGTATTTGACAACCTGGGAATGAGACTCAGCCACCAATTACTCTTTCTTGGATCCCTGGGTGTTTTCATTCAGGCCTAGAGACAGACAGATGTACAGCAACAACAGTAGCAGCCAGGAGCCAAACCCAACAAAAAACACCTCTGTACTTTATTCTGTCATCAAATTGAATCAGAATCAGAATTTTGTTTATTGCCAAGTAGGTTTTTACGCCTACGACTAATGTGACCTGGTGCAGTTGGTGCATAAAATATACACATATACAA